CCCAAATCCCCAAATCCCAAAACCCCAAATCCCCAAATCCCAAAACCCCAAATCCAAAATCCCCCGTTTCCTCGCAGACCCGGGCAGTTGGTACCCCCAATCCTGCTCCCCAATCCCAAACCCCAAACCCCCAAATCCCAAACCCCCAAATCCCAATCCCAAACCCCCAAACCCCAAACCCCAAACACCATTTCCCCTTTCCCCGCAGAGCCGGGCAGTTGGTACCCCCAATCCTGCTCCCAAATCCTCAAACCCCAAATCCCAAATGCCCCAAAACCCCAAATCCCCAATCCCAAATTCCCCAAACCCCAAATCCCAAATCCCAAACCCCATTTCCCCCCTTTCCCCGCAGAGCCGGGCAGTTGGTACCCCCAATCCTGCTCCCAAACCCCCAAATCCCCAAATCCCAAACCCCAAACCCCAAATCCCCCCAATCCTTTCCCTTTCCCCGCAGAGCCGGGCAGTTGGTACTCGAGCGACGAGGACGACGGCGGCAGCAGCGTCACCTCCATCCTCAAATCCCTGCGCCAGCAGAGCTCCACCCGACCCCAAAACCCCTCGGGGGAACCCCCGAGCGACCCCAGAACCCAACGACCCCCCCGCCCCTCCGACCCCCGGCTCCGGGACCCCCGGCTGGCCCGAAACCCCGAACCCCTCCCGGTAGCGGATCCCGTTCCCAGCGATCCCCGTTTAGCTCGGCACGTCCCGAAAATTCCGGAAACGTCTCAAAAAAACGCTCAGACTTCGAACGAGGATGAGGAAGGCGAGCGAATCCTTCGGGACAAACCCCTGAGCATCCCCCTGGAAGCCGCCCCGGGCCACTGCCAGCGCGATCCTCGTTGCCAACTCCAACAATTCTCGCACATCCGCAAGGCCGTGGTGCTGCTGCGCCCGCCCTTCGCCCGCTCCGTGCTCTGGAGCCCCGAGGATTTGATCCCCGTGCCCGTTCCTAAGCAAGATCTTCCTCCTCCTCTTCCTCCTCCTCCTCATCCTCATCTTCATCACGCTTCGGGACATTTGAGCGCTTTGCGGGCGGATCCTCGGCGTGCGGATTCTTCGTCATCATCATCGTCGTCATCATCATCGTCATCGGCGGCGCTTCCCGATTTCGAGCTTCTCTCCAGGATCCTCAAAACCGTCACGGCGTCTTCTTCATCCTCATCATCGCCATCATCATCATCGTCATCGTCATCATCATCATCATCATCATCGGGAGGGGACAAACCCAGCGACCCCCGCGTGAGGAAGGACCCGAGGCTGCAGAAAATTCCCGACTCGGGGAATTGCCGGGCTGGGGAAGGGGAGGGGTCCCCGGCCATGGCTCCCTACGACCCCCGCCTGAGCTGGGGCAGCTGCGGCCAGAGCAGCAGCAGCGTCCTGAGCGCCATCAGCCTCTACGACCCCCGGACTCCCAAAGAGCCCCAAAACGACGCGAATTTCACCCAAAAAACCGGGCAGGAAGGAGGGAAAAGCGGCAAAAGCAAAGATCCGCCCTTCGTTCGGCGCTCGGCGCTGGAACAACCGGAAAACAACAACAACAACAACAACGAGAAAACGGAAATGACGGACAGGTACAACAGCTACAACCGACCCAGGGCCAAAATCACCTGTGCAGGTGAGGGGGGGAGCGCTCAAGGTGCGCTCCACAACCTGCCCGTGTTCGGGTTGGGTAAAGGTAAAGGAGGGGGGAGCCCCGGGCAGGGGGAGCCCCCCGAGGATGGGGATAAATCCCTCAAGGACGTCTTCAAAGGGTTCGACCCCACGGCTTCACCTTTCTGTCAGTGAGGGGAGGGGGCTTGGGGGGGTTTTGGGGGGGGGGGGGGGGGGGGGGGGGATGGGAGCGAACGGATCCGAAATTCGGTCGGGTTTGGTTAAATCTGCTCGGATTTACCTGAAATTCGTCCAGGTGTGGCTCGAATGTACCCAAAATCTGGTCAGGTGTGCTCAAAATCCATCCAAATTCACTCAAAACCCAGCCAGGTGTGCTCAAATCTACCCAAAAT